TTTTTGGGTAATAAAATACCATTCAGTGAAAAAAGCAAGGCCAAAATCAGCAATCAAGGTGAAATAGAAAGGCAGAAAGAAAACTATAAGTAGCAACATAATTGCCATATTTGGCATTGTGATTATTTTGATAATTATATTACATTTTTGGTCAAGTTAAAACACCCTAGGAAAACAATATTAGGTTGAATTAAATGAAGTTTTTATTTTTGTTGGTCAAAAAAATGATCAAATATCACAATTTCATATGGTTCAAACTAATATCACACAATCCTCAGTATATTTTAATCCGGTTTCTGGAAAACATAGTGTTCATTTTTAAGGGATCCTGTGACTCGGTTTTATGCCAGATATCACAAAGAAATCAATAACAGAACTAGGAATATAACATAATAGAATAACAGAATTGCTAATTATGCTAACTCAATACACTCATTGAGCACCTACTACACGCCAGGCAAAGTTGTGGAAGTGTGTGTATGTATGTGGGGCAGAGTGAGGTTTGGGGTTGGAGAGGGAACAAGGTCACATGCTTTATACAGATTTGGACATTTTGAATTTGCCAAGCAGAGAGTTTGACTAAAGAAAGGCACAGGATCCCTTTGCTCTTCCCCCCAAACCCTCCTCTCCCCCAACCCCCCCTCCTCAAAAAAAGAAAGAAAGCCACAGGGAAAGATATAAAACTACTTATTTTCTTTTGTTTTTACTTCCATTGTCAAAGTGCAGTATTTGTTTTCTGTTATCAACAGAAACTGGTTAATGAAGATGTACTAAATTAATCAAGTTAATATATGAATTCCCCAGCAAAGTCAGACTTAGCCAGTAGTTTCATATGCTAATATCAACAACCAAAACTCTCTCTGTCAAGGATTTCAACTGGGTGAAGGTTCATGAACTGACAATGTGGCAAAATATTAGCTTTAATAATAAATCTGCTAATTCTTCTTCCCTACTTGTCTTGTTCAACATTACAATCCCATTCTGGCAAATAACAAACCCTCAATAAGTATTTGTTGAATGAACTAATTAGCTGTGGTTTGGTCCTTGATTGAAGCATAATAATTCCTGCCAGATAAAATAAGGTCACCATGTTTATTTATTGTAACATAAACTTTTTAAGAAATAGTGCAAGTCATCAAAATTCACCACTTCTAACATCTTCCCCTACCAAATAACACCATTACCTCTCAATCAGATTTTTTAAGAAAATTAAATGCATGTAAAGTATTAAATTAACAAATATGAACAAATTTAAATATTTAAATACTTAAATATTCTTTTATTGAAACACCCTAATTTTTGTTACACTTTGTATGTATATCGTTTATACTAGAAATATAATCAAAGCTACATGTATACAAAAATTCTGTTTCTTTTATTGCCTACAATGCAGTACTATAAGGCTACTTCATAAAATTGCTGTAAGAATAAATGAATTATACAAAAGAGAAATTTAAGTACAGGAGCTTATTCTATGTGAAAATATTATTATAACAATTCTACTTCCTCATTCAATTATAATATACAGAAATCATTTTATAAAGCTACTTCTATATCAACTTCCAAATAGTCTGATTAAAAAATGTTTTAATCTATATTTTAGGCAAAAAATAAAATCTAATTTTAACATGTTATCAAATGATTAAAAATAAAAGCCTGTCAATTTAAGTATTTCAACTGCCTGAGTTCTATAGGCCAGATAATAATTTTAAATAATAGTTACATTGTTAATTGTTGAAATAATATGTAATAGTCTTTTTTCTCCTCAATCATTAAAATCTTATATAATATTCCAATAATAATTTATCACAAAGACAGATATTTTTCTAAGTAATGTATCACCAAACCACATTTTGTTTCTGGTGTCATTTGCGGGTATCAATCCTTGTTATAAAATGACACATTAGCTAAAAACTTGATAAACTTTGGAATGAAGTTCACTGACATGCTACTAAAAATAGACCCCTTTTAATTTTTTCAACAAATTTAATATGAACATGGTGATAGAAATACATTAGGATAATAGAAATTCACCCTACATTAGTTTTTAATGAATCTTAGATATCACAATTCTTTCATATTCCAAATTTTAATTAGTCTTCAAAAATAATAACTACCATCTCTTGAGAAGTTACAAAATGCACAATACTATACTAAGCATTTTATACACTTTATTTCACAAAATCCTCACAACTTTATGCAGTACTGTATATATTAATTAGTGTCCCCATACATCAATATAAACTGAGACTCAGGGTTAAGAAATTTGTTGTGACTATAAGAACGAGGATTTTGAATACCTCAGGTCTACTGCACTACAAAGCCAATAGCTTTAACCAACCACCCAGTTTTAAGAAAACAAAGTCCTAAATATACAGAAATGGAAGTCAACAAAGTTGAAGTACAAAGTTAGGCTAGATGTGAAAAAAAGATACTACTAATTGTTAAAGACAGAAGGGATGTAAGCTACACTAAGAGTATCAAGAATATATTTACAAAATAAGTGAGACAAATAAATTTTCATTTTTAAAAACTTCATTTCTTTTGGCAATATCTTTAAGATGGTAGCAGAGACTAATCCTTCTCAGTTTCCTGACAAACATATTTTTCATTCTAGACTTAAAATTCAATGTCTTTTAATCATCATGCTTCTCACACCTGTGTAGTGGTTTCATTAAACAATGTACATACTTTTTTTAAGCATTTGTTAATACCAAGTTATCAAATATTCATGAGGAAATAAAGTATACCTTCTCAAGCTTTACACCATCATTTCTCCTTCATGAGAAATTAAGTTATTTTCACATGATCAAAAAAATTCATTACACACAATTAAAAACAAACAAGTCACATTTTATAAGGCAGCAATTACATTCATGTGGTACCAGTGTAATTGAAAGACAGAAGACATTTCATTCGTTAGTAACACAGAATTTCTTCTAGTAGGTTTCCTAGAGCTCATTAGATATTCCCTGGCTGATTCTCCTAAGTAATTAGATTTTAACAGGATTTTCAACAGATCAGAGCAATCTCTGTGGGTGCCAATAGAAGAGTCCCCCTCTGGCCTTACCAGCAGGGCAGAGCAGATAACATCCAGACTGGGAGTTAATAGGACAATTACTGGCCTCTTTTAAATGAGTTACATTAATGCACTTAAGCTAAATGGTTCTGCATATGATTAAATATTAACATCTGCAAAATATGAAAGCATGATATGCAATCAAGTTGTGTTGTTTTAATTTCCCCAAAGAAAGACTTCCATTGTTTATACAAATGCCTTTAAATACTATATATTAAACACTTTGAGGATCTACTAATAGAAAGATGGAAACCATTCTTCTCACTTAAGAGTCTTAAAATACACTGGCTTTTAGGATGTTACTTCTGGCTATGATGGAGTGACTAAAAAAAAAAAAAAGACCAAAGAAGAGAGTTCTAAAAATCTGCAGAGGTTATCCTTCAAGACTCATGCTTAGTGTTGATCAGCATATACCTAAGCAACAACTACTGAAGGCTGAAAAAAGAACCAACCACTAGAAAAGAGCAGATGGAACAATGTTCAGAGCTCACACGGGGCTGGGGATATTTCCATAGCCAGAGTTAAAAACAAAACAAAACAAACACCTTATAATACATAAGGCAACAGGTAGAGAACTCAGAAGGATATAAGAGCAAATTAGCTCTAGACTTAGAGTTGCTCTTATGACACCTAACAAAACTTAATGGCAAATCTCAAAAGAATCAATTTCCAAGTTATTTGAATGCCCAGACCAATGCTCAAAAATATATATAGGAATACAAAGAATCAAGCACTTACAGGGGCGCCTGGGTGGCTTAGTCGGTTAAGCGTCAGACTTTCACTTAGGTCATGATCTAGCGGTTCGTGGGTTCGAGCCCCAAGTCGGGCTCTGTGCTGACTGCCAGCTCAGAGCCTGGAGCCTGTTTCAGTCTGTGACTCCCTCTCTCTCTGACCCTCCCCTGCTCACGCTGTCTATCTCTCTCTCTCCTAGAAATAAATAAAACATTAAAAATTAAAAAAAAAAAGAATCAAGCACTTCCAGAGCATAAAATTCACAATGTCTAACACCCAAATTCATTAAGTCATGAAAGGAGCATGGAAGATATAAAAATGACAAAAGTTAAATTTCTAAAGATAAAAAATACATTGGGTAGGATTAAGAGTAGTTTAACATTGCAGACCGAAAACAAATGGACAATGAATTTTGGAACAGTGAAGTGTGGGACAACTTCAAGCAGTTTAATATGTGAGTAATTGGAGTCCGAGGAGAAGAGAGGGAGGAAGAGAAGAGAAAAACTATTTGAAGAAATAATGACCAAAAATTTTCCAATTTTGATGAAAATTATACAACCAAGAAAAAAAATGAAGCTATAACGAGGTTCATCATAAGTCAAGTAGCCTAAAATATACTACCTTAAAAAATTTTTTTTAATGTTTACTTATTTTTGAGAGGGAGGGTGAGGGACAAAGTGAAAGGGTTACAGAGGATCCTAGTGGGCTCTGTGCTGACAGCAACAAGCCCGATGTGGGGCTCAAACTCATTAACCATGAGATCACGACCTGAGCTGAAGTCGCAAGCTCAACCAACTGAGCCACCCAGGTGCCCCTAAAATGTGCTGACTTTGAAAAGCATTGTAGATACATAGTAAATGTCTCTAGCAGAAACCAAAATACATTGGACCGGAACTGATGCAAAGTCAGTTGCATGCTTGGTTCCTATAATAAGATATTCTAAGAGTAATTTTCAGTCTAATGCAAATAGTCAATTTTGCCATTAAGTGTCATTTTTCAGATGTTTTATAATGAATTATATTCTTTACTTATTGACTTTATAAAGAAATGTTTCCTTCCTTTCCTTAGCTACCACTAAGATGCTAGGTCCTTTGGAAGAAGTCATAGGCCACATGGGGATGAGGCCCTCTCCTTCATCCACTTGGCTAGCACTGCATCAGGCAGCACCCGCTCAGCACTCCCCTGCACTATGGCCTCAGTCTTGGAGCTCACCTACATCTACTCAGCCCTCATCCTGCAGGACAATGAGGTGATGGTCACAGAGGCTAAGATCAATGCTCTAATTAAAGCAGCAAGTATAAATGTTGAACCTTTCTGGCCAGGCTTGTTTGCAAAGGCCCTGCCCAGTGTGAACACCAGGAGCCTCATCTGCAATGTAGGGGCTAGTGGACCTGCCCCAGCAGCTGGTGCTGCACCAGCAGGAGGTTCCACTCCCTCCACCACTGCTGCCCCAGCTGAGAAAGTGGAAGCAATGAAAAAAGAATTAGAGAAGACTGATGATGATATGGGCTTTGGTCTTTCTGACTAAACCTCTTCTATAACCTTTTCCCTAAAAAGCTGAACTCTTAGGGGCACCCGAGTGACTCAGTTGGTTGAGCAACCAACTCATGATTTTGGCTCAGGTCATGATCCCAGTCAGGCTCAGTGCTGAGTGTGGAGCCTGGTTGCAATTCTTTCTCTCCCGCTGCCCCTCCCCCTTGCTTGCCCACACTCTCAAAAAAAAAAAGCTGAATTCTTAACAAAATAAAAATAAATACTCCAAAACATTACTATAAAATATCAAATTGGACCCCAGCAAGTACAGAGGCAAGGGCCTGAACCAGACAAGTAAGTTCTGGTAAGCACTTCCTCTATCTTTTCATTAGCTTTTATTCACTTGGATAAAATAGGGCACAGGATCAGTAAAAGACTTTTGATTCATTGAAAAGACACTTGAATTTTTTAAGCTGAGCCACAAGCTCCACACAAACTTTCAAACAGCAAAGTTCAGTGCATGTCTGCAGCCCCCAAAATGTGGTAATATTCAGACGGCCTTGAATTTTACCTCTGTTTCTGTTTGTTTGTCCACAAATTTATTTCTCTAATTCTATTTTCCCTGTGGAGTATTCAAATGTCTGTGCCTTGTTTTATGTACTTGAAGTATTCCAGAGATTTTATATTGAAACAGAACTTTTTTCAATCTTAATTACACCTTAAAGGCATTTGGAGAACTTGTTATCTAAAAGAATTCTTTGAGTGTATTGATCATTTTCTGAACTTTTTGTCTAATATCTGATTTTTATACATCAAATTTGCTTAACACTAGGTACACAAAAATAAAGATCGCACAAAGATACATAGAGATAACAAGTCAATCAATTTTAGAAATGTGTTGAATCAACCTGGCAAAAGACATTATATTAGTCATACTGAGACCCACAGGGAAACCAGCATTTGCAAAGACATCAAAAAAAAGAAAATTCAAACAATTCTCCTAAATGAGTTTTAATGGACTCTAGTTTCCTTTTCCTTACCCTTTTTTTGAGATTTTTCAGTCCTGTTTTACACAATGAACTTGAAATACTTTGGTAGTAAGTATATTTGTGGTTAGTCCAGAGGACATTTAACATTTAAGTATGTTCCACTAAAACACATCATTGATGGAAGAAAAGAGAAGGGTGGGGCAAGTGTCTGGGTGGCTCAGTTGCTTACTTATCTGACTCTTGATTTCAGCTCATGATCTCACCCAGTCATGAATTTGAGCCCCCCCCTCCATCTCCACTCTGACAGTACAGAGCCTGTGTGGGATTCTCTCTCTCTCTCTCTCTGTCCCTTCCCTGCTCACTCTCTCTCTCAAAATAAATTAAAAAACTAAAAAATTTTTTAAAAAGATAAGGGTAATACACATGAAAGAGGACAAAGGGTAATACTCCATGGCTAACTGCATGATATTTGAAACACTAGAAAGCAGAACTAAAATTTATAAGTTGAAATTGCAGGAAGGCAAATTATGCCCAACATAACACTATACTTTCTAACATCCTAAACTCTTTTTTTTATGTTTATTTATTTATTTTTGGGAGAGAGAGAGGGAGGGAGGGACAGAAAAATAGGGAGAAAGAATCCCAAGCAGTCTCTGCATTGTCCGTGTGGAGCTCATTGTCCTTGAGGCTCAAACTCAAGAATGGTGAGATCCTGACTGTAGCCAAAAACAAGAATTGGACACAACCAACTGAGCCACCCAGGTGCCCCTTTCTTAAACTTTCTAAACATCAAATACCAAGTGTCCTATTGCTCTAAGTGTGCAAATATTGGCTGACCATTTGGCAGGGATTTTGTACAAAGAATTCAAGTGTCGTGTAGGACATTAGATTAGACAACATTTAAAGACCTAATCTTTAAGTCTTTCTAAACATTCAGATGATCTGATTCTATGATCCTAAATGCCTTTGTGTTCACATTAGGAATTTCCTTTGCCTTAAATTCTCCATAAAATGATTATAATACCCATCCCTTTCTTGTATGTAGGAAATATTGGACTATAAGGAGACTTAGGGTAGATCTGGTTCTGTCACTAATTTGTTGGGTAACTTAAAAAAACCATTTTTTAAAATCATTTTCCTTTTTTAAGTTTATTTCTTTATTTTGAGAGAGAGAGAGCAGGGGAGGGGCAGAGAGAGAATCCCAAGCAGGCTCCTCACTCTCAGTGCAGAGCCCAATGCGGGGCTCAACCCCACAAACTGTGAGATCATGACCTGAGCTGAGGCCAAGAGCCGGATACTCAATAGACTGAGCCACCCAGGTGCCCCTAAACAAATCATTTTTATTTCTTGGTTTGGGTTTTGTCATCTGCAAGTGTGGCCTGGGGGATCTAAACACATATCTCAAGAGTTCACTCTACTTTACACATTTTACTTCCCCAAGTCTCTGACTCTTACCTGTGTATTAGCCTAGCACTTTGCTAGAATAACTAGCCAAAATTCTGTTTCTGGTATTCATAAAAATGTAAAATCTCTGACACTATAATTCCATGTTGTTGATATGGGAAACCATACAGTCAAAACTGATTTCTACCTGTTTGCTTCAATCATACACATTCACAGTGAACAATCATAAAGAAAGATCCTCGAAGTTTCTCTGGTTATCAATGACCTTCACACATCAGCTCCAACATTCAACTTGCAGATTGTATTACCAAGATTTTACATCTTGATAAGAATCATATTGCCCCTGCTCTCAAAGCAACTCTGTGCTATAATCCTAAGAAACAGCAAGTAAATGAGCTCTGAGTTCAAATTAAATTTTTTTACCATTGCAATATTTAAAAATATTAGTTGTACCATTTACTGCTGCTTCTAAAATAAATATAGAGAGACTATTACCAAAAAAACATGTTAAATGAATCCCTCTGAGAAACATGCCAAATACAGGATAGAAAAATGACTAATTCTTTTCTTATAGCAACACATCAAAATTGACTGTCTAGTCATTTGCATACCCCTAACCCTAAGCTAAATTCAGAAGCAATCTCATTAAAATGAGAAAACTCACCAACCAGCTTAATATTCTGTCCAATGTTGACATTATGATATTCTTTTGTGGTATAATTAGAGATGTGTGTTTATAGATTTCTTCTCTTAAATCTTTCATGCATTTGATCCAAAAACTCTACTTCAAAAACAATTAAAATAAAACTGAACTCTTATTTCCTACCAGAGGATTGGTTGATTGTGAAATCTAGTTTATGAATGTTTGAAGTCATTATGGAAAAATAGCATCTCTTGTTTTGCAATGCCTGCTTCATGCTGTTCTCTGCCCTCAAAAGACGTTTTCTTTCCTTGTTCCTTTCTTTCTTTCTTTCTTTCTTTCTTTCTTTCTTTCTTTCTTTCTTTCTTTCTTTCTTTCTTTTCTTTCTTTCTTTCTCTCTCTCTCTTTCTCTCTCTCTCTCTCTTTCTTTCTCTCTCTCTCTCTTTCTTTCTCTCTCTCTCTCTTTCTTTCTCTCTCTCTTTTTCTTTCTTTCAAGTAAGCTATACACCCAATGTGGGGCTTGAACTCATAAACTCTAGATCAAGAGGTGCATGCTCCACTGACTGAGCCAGCCAGCCACCCCCAAAGATGTTTTCTTAAAGGGGTGACACCAAAGACCTACCTTTCCTACCTAACATCCAGAAATATTCAGGTAAGAAAAAAGAACTATGGATGGATAATAACAAGAAAAACCCTACCCTCTGTAACTATTGGATTCAGAAATAAATACAAATAATTACATTTGTATGGCAGCTTAAACACTTCAATGTATTAAAGCCTATGATTTTACTTGATGTACTGTGAACTTTTTAAGGTTACCTAAGGCATGAACTCCCATTCACAGGAAGGGAAAATGAAATAGAAATCACTTGCCCGTCACACAATGAACTTGCTATGGACTGAATTGTGCCTCATCCCCCAATTCACATTGAAGCCCAAACCCCCATTGTGACTACATTTGGAGACAATGACTATAAGAAAATTATTAAAGGTTAAACTAAGTTGTAAGGGTGGGTCCCAGATTTGATAGAATAGGTATTCTTATTCAGAGAGCACTCACTTACAGTTTCTGAGTGCACACAAAGAGGATGATATGTGAGCATACAGCAAGATGGCAGCTGCCTATAAGCCAGGAAAAGTCCCTTCCAGAAACCAACCATGCTGAAACTCTAATCTCGGATTTCTAGCTTCGTGATCTACAAGAAAATAAATGTCTGTTGGTTAAGATACTCAGTCTATAGTGTTTTGTTACAGCAGTCTAAGCTAAGAGCTAATGGATCATGAAACTTCTCCTAGAACAAAGTCTGGACTCTTTGTCTTGTGTGTATTGGCATAGCAGAGTAGTCAGCATTGAAGTACTGAGAATGATCATTTAAATTCCAAGCAATTTTTCCTGAACTTATAATGTGACTGCTATGCCTTCACCTTCAATCAACTAATAGAAGTACTGGGGTGTGGGGGTGGCTCAGTGGGTTAAGCATCTGACTCTTAATTTAGGCTCAGGTCATGATCTCACTGTTCATGAGTTCAAGGCCCACATCAGGCTCCGTTCTATCAGTGCAGACCCTGCTTAGGATTCTCTCTCCCCCCTCCGCCCTCTCTCTCTCTCTCTCTCTCTCTCTCTGACCTTTCCCCATGCTCTCTCTTTCAAAATAAATAATTGTTTTAAATAATAGAAGTATTGTTGCCATGAAGACACTCCTTATCGGGGAAAAACGGATGCATCATCATAAGTGTGCAACATATCCTGTAGATTTCTCTCTTGCAATAAACTTTTGAACTGATTTCCTTTTTAAAAAAACTACACTTGTTATTGAGGAATGATATTCTTACACTTAATGTTCCCTTTCTGTGAAGAGAGCTAAGTCCTCTCTCTACTACCACACATTCAAACCTCACTGGTAAATTTTGTAAAGAATAACTAGACATTCTACAGTTGTTTAAACTTTTTTCTCTTGAGATGAGCTTGTCCAGAGAACAAATTCTTTGTTCTCAATGTTAAAAATCTTACCTCAGCAGTCC